GTACTGGATTATTAATGGAGTCTTTGCTTCCAAATCACACTCTTGAGTGAATACTCCACGTGGTTTATCCCAAACATTAGACGTACTGGATTAGTAAAGGAGTCTTTGCTTGCAAACCACACTCTTGAGTGAATACTCCATGTGGTTTATCACAGACATTAGACGTACTGGATTATTAATGGAGTCTTTCCTCCCAAACCACACTCTTGAGTGAATACTACATGTGGTTTATCACAGACATTAGACGTACTGGATTATTAATGGAGTCTTTCCTCCCAAACCACACTCTTGAGTGAATACTCCATGTGGTTTATCACAAACATTAGACGTACTGGATTATTAATGGAGTCTTTCCTTCCAAACCACACTCTTGAGTGAATACTACACGTGGTTTATCACAAACATTAGACGTACTGGATTATTAATGGAGTCTTTCCCTCCAAACCACACTCTTCAGTGAATACTCCATGTGGTTTATCACAAACATTAGACGTACTGGATTATTAATGGAATCTTTGCTTGAAAACCACACTCTTGAGTGAATACTACACGTGGTTTATCACAGACATTAGACGTACTGGATTATTAAGGGAGTCTTTCCTTCCAAACCACACTCTTGAGTGAATACTCCATGTGGTTTATCACAAACATTAGACGTACTGGATTATTAATGGAGTCTTTACTTGCAAACCACACTCTTGAGTGAATACTCCAACACCAAATAATGTTTTTAAGTTGTTCTTTTTTGGGGAATATGGGGAAAAGCCAGATATATTTATAGATTAACCGTCAGGTATTTTATGGGATGCAAGGGTCATGACGATGACAGTTTTTCATATGTGTGAAGACTAAAGATGGTGTGTTTGTATATGTGTGAAGACTAAAGATGGTGTGTTTAGAAACACACCATCTTTAGTCTTCACTCATACAGAAACACACCATCTTTAGTCTTCACTCATACAGAAACACACCATCTTTAGTCTTCACACATATACAAACACACCATCTTTAGTCTTCACTCATACAGATATGTGTGAAGACTAAAGATGGTGTGTTTCTATATGTGTGAAGACTAAAGATGGTATGCTTCTATATGAGTGAAGACTAAAGATGGTGTGTTTCTCCTGCACGATGTTGATTCTCGACACATAAGATACACCGTGAGTATGTTTTGTTTGTCTATCCTCTATGTTTGTGTTTGTATAGTGTGTTTGGAAGGAAGAATATTTATAATATTTGTAATTGTACAAACATTACTAGTAGGCTTGGGAACTTTAATAGACTTGAACTGCCCGTTGAGTGAAAAGACGACGACGTTTCGGCTTGTCTACTGAGGCCTTCTTTAAACATTGTTACATTACCTTTATAGCATGTTACCTATGTATACAAGACTTACACTTTAAAGTCAGTAAAGTAACGTAGTTAACTTACATGGATAACATGTTACATACATATAAACAAGAGTTACACTTACGTAGTTAATTTACATGGATAACATGTTACTTATCTAAACAGAGTTGCTGTTTACATGGTACTAACATTCCAGTATGTAACTTAGAGGTACCAATTTATAGTAGCGACTCAGTAAATAACCTGTATGTACCCACGTGGTAGTAACAATCCAGTAGGCCAGCAGCTTCCCAAAATTAAGGTCGCGACCCACTGGTGAAGCGTATTATCTAAGGACCAAGATGTGTTGTATTCCAGTGTCTTATTGATTTCTGAGATAGCTTCTCATCTTATAGGCGGCTGAAGCGCTTTGTATCCGAAGGGACACAACCCTCGAGGGGGACATCTTTCGCATATTTACTGATTTGTCCACAAAAAAAAGCCAACTACAGCCCGACTTATATTTTTACTTGCTGTTTTGTTATATTTATTTGACACGCAATATGAATCCTAAAGCAATTACAGTAATAAAGAAACACCACTTGGCTCTCTAGAGTAAAATGAACCTTCAAACTATACTTTAGAATTCTATATATATTGTGATCGCCTCTTACGACCTTCCACTTTTTTCCCTACATACCTGCCGTATAATGGGCGTGCCTGATGACTGACAGCCAGTCAGCTCGTGCGAGTTCATCACATCTCCATCTGGTAAAGTCCCAACTGCGACTGCGTGGTAGTGGTGCCGAATGGTCTGGCAGTCACGGTTCTTCCCAGCGTGTGAGTTCGTTTCGGGGTTCTTTCTTCGTTTAGGTAACCGTGACGGCGTGCATGGGAAGTGGATGTAGCGTGTTACTTTAAATCTCCTGGTGCTGATTTCGCTTTATAACAAAATTTGTACAGTTTCTATGCTTCTCAGATAGCGTATTAGCCTGTCTGTTATTGTACACTTCGTGAAGTCAAAACGTTTCGCTTCTCCTTCTTGTACATTTTGTGAAGTCAAAACGTCTGGTTGCTTGTTTTTGTACATGTTGTGAAGTTAAGACGCTTAGCTACTTGTTCTTGTACACTTTGTGAAGTCAAAACGTTTCGTTGCCTGTTCTTATACATAATGTGAAGTTAAAAACGTATTTGTTCTTGGGTGCGTTCTGTAGTTAAAAGTTTCTTTCTCGTGATATAACACATTCCACTTGGATGCGGTCTGTAGTTAAAACATTTTTTTCTGTTTCTCGTGATATAACACATTCCACTTGGATGCGGTCTGTAGTTAAAACATTTTTTTCTG